AGAAAGATGAGGCTTTCTACTCCCGTAAAGATTTACACCCTCGGAAACCCTGTACAGGGTCGCTATGGGTTGGAACTGACTCGACGGCACTTAACAACAACAATAGGTTGTACCAGACAATTAACTGGTCTTCTTTAAAGGTGTATGGCCATTATCCTATCACAGACATTTCAATATAGACCTTGAGCTGCTCTTTTTGATGATGAATGTGATGCCATTCTTTTTCAATCTGTTATTCCCAGCACAGTAAGCCACAAATGTCAGATATAAAATGGCCAATACCAGTCCATTTCATCTCACTAATGCCTAGCATATCAATCTTTACGTGTTCCATTTAATTTTTGACAACTGCCAATTCCCCTAGATTCATACTTTGTCCATTCCATGTTTCAATTATTAATAGATACTTGTAGTTGTTTGTCTCATTTTGAGTAGAAAACCATTCCCATCAGGAAATGAAGGTCCTAAAAGCTTTGCTCCATCTACATTATAAAGGACACCTCTACTTCAAAGAATCAGCTCTTTCCCAGCTGTATTTTTAGTGCATTCCCACCTGAGGGGCTCATCTCCCAATACTGTATCAGACAATGTTCCAATGCTATTAATAAGGTTTTCAGAGGCTAAACATTCGGAAGTGGTCTGCTTTACCTTTTTCCTCATCTGTCTTAGTTGGGAAACTCTACTGAAACCTATCTACCATGGGTAACCCTGCTGCTATTTAAAATATCAGTGCTATAGCTTCTAGCATCACAGCGACACACAAGCAAGTGCAGTCTGACAAACTGACAGCAAGTGTTGGGGAATGTAATAGAGCCATCCCCAATCAGGTACAGAGAATTCTCATACATTTACAAAAATGGAAGACGAAAGAGTTATCAACGATCTCATGATTTGACATTCCACATTTAAAATAATTGTGAAAAAATTCTTAAGAGGCACCTCCAACGGTCTAGTTCCCAAGCAGGGTCATGGCAGAGTCAGGGTGCCCTCTCAGGCTACCCTGAATGATATACCAGTAGCCCTATCAACGACTGGGCCACGTGACAGACAAAAGGCTGACCAGCCACAGGGCACCTTCTCTTATTCAACTGTAATGTCTTGGTTCTGCCACGGAAGGCATGGGACAATTAAGGGATTACACAAGATCTCAAGAAAGCAGAAGGAGGTCAGGTGAGGGCCCAAAGGTCCGTGTGTGAGGCAGGAAGGAGGAAAGAGAGGAGGAGGCCACAATGGGTTGCATGGCCTGAACAGAGAGAGGATGAATGGAGACCCTGTCCAGAGAAGGTGGTAGGAAGCAGTGGGTGGTAAGAAACCTGGTCACCCCCACCCCTGCTGGTGACACAGTAGTGGAGAAGGTGTGGTGGAGAGGGATGACCAGTCCCGAGATGTACCGGGGCACCAGGAGAATGAAGGGTCACTGGTACGTGAGACAGCGCACAAACTCTGACTCTCATTTAACACTGATTTTACATGACATGGTCTTTAAACCAAACTATGTCGAGAGATGAGGAATGAGTATACTCAATAATTATTTTTATATTGCCCAATATTATTTACCAGAAAAATGCAAATTAAAATTGCACTCATTTGAATGGTTAATATTAGAACAATCAATACACCAAGGCTGGCAAGGAGGCAGAGCAACTAGCATTTCTATACATTGTGAAGGGAATAAACAAGGGGCCAATCAGCTTCTAATAAAGCTAACCATGCATTTACAACTCAGAACTTCCACTTTCAGATATTCACCGAAGAGAAATGAAAATAAATGTCCACACAAAGACCTGTACAAGAATGTTCATAACAGCTGGCGCTGTAGGACCAGCACTGGACTGCAAACCACAAGGTCAGCAATTCAAACCCACCAGCAGCATCTTGGAAACCCTACACAGGGTCGCTATGACACAGAACTGACTCAACAGCACTTCACAACAATAATTTGCTACCACCCATGTCTAACAACAAGAAGTGGATGAGCAAAGTGATATATTCATATAATAGAACACTACTCAGAAATGCAAAGAGCTCTGGTAGCGTAGTGGTTACAAGCCGGGCTACTAACCTCACAATCAGCAGTTCAAAACTACCAGCTGTTGCACAGGAGAAAGATGAGGCTTTCTGCTCCCGTAGAGATTTACAGCCTCAGAAACCCTATGAGTCGGAACCAACTCCACGGCACACCACCACCATCAGCACTCAGAAATACACAGGAACCAATGATTGAAATATCAACAACATGGATAAACTTGTAAAAAAAAAAATTACCAGAGGGAAAAGAGGGCTGACTAAAGAGAAAATACTATGCAATTCTATGTAATGAAACTCTGGAAAAGACAAACAGAAATTTAGTGATAGAAAACGAACAGTGGTTGGCTGACGAGAAGTGAAAACTGACTGAGAAAGGACACAGGGAGCTTGTGGGAGTACTAGCAGCGGCCTCTACTGTAGTAGTGGTTAATGGACGTAGACATATATGTAGAAATTCCTGAAAATGCACATTTTAAAAGTGGGTGCACTTTAGCGTATACAAATTATACTCAGCAAAGTTGTTGTTGTTATTTTAATGGAAAAGACAAAATTTTCCATAGTAGAAAAGACAGAAATTTCCAAGATGGTAAAAGTAGATGACTTTTGGACTGAGAACCAACAATGGCAGACAGCAACCTGAAATTACCATTCATGACACCACCACCCACAACTCAACCCAGATATAGAAGTATTTAAAGTAAAACAAACACCTGGAAGACTGAAAACAGAACCAGAGACATCAGGGTATAATGAAGTCAACTACAACACTAAAAGAGGGAATAGTGTAGATACAGAACTTCCAAATTTCAAGGAAGTCAAGTAGATTTTGTTTTAAGCAGGGGAAAAAAATTAATAAATTATAGGGTAACTTCAAAGAAAAATAATACACCTGTACATCAAGATAAAAAAAAGGAAAATTAGAAAGAAAAGAAAGACTAGCTATATCAGAAATTAGGTCCTGAAAGAATGCTTTGTTAAATAACTGTCAAGGCATAATAGCCTCAGAACGCAGCAAATGAACTTACTGATGTTAAGAAAAAAAAAAAAAGTAGATGATAAAAATAGGGATTGTTCTTTTCTAATTTTGCATTATTTTGTTATTTCTCTCTCTCACTACTCAAAAAGTAAAGAGGTGGAGGCGAGAAGTGAACTAAGCACAATTTAATAATCTAATGATTTCACCTGTCAAAAAGAAAATATCTACTGCTTTTCTCCATATCATGAACCTATTCTATTTTACTGTTTCCTAGTGTAAACAAAAAGATGAGGCTTTCTGCTCCCAGAAAGACTTGAAGCCTTCGAAACCCTATACAGAGTCCGTAAGAGTCAAAACCAACTCCATAGCATGTAACAAGAATAAAATACATCTTAAGTGTATTTTGATACCCTATAACATAGGTCACATTGTATCTTCATTTTATGAATTTAATCTGTCTGCAAAATTGTCTTAAAAAGTACCACTGAATTTTGTTAATGCATAAACACTGTATATCACAGAGGTTCTAAAATGTGGCTTCTTTGGGATTTTTATTGTTAAAATTCCAAAGGGGACAGCTTTTCGTGAAGGACACAGGACGATCACAGTAGCATATTATGATGAAGGTTTAAGAAAATGAAAAACTGCAATAGTGAGAAATATGCAGGGGAACTGTACTGAGGGAATTGTTTCCATCACAACAAAGTACTCACTCATTCCTCGAAGATAGCTAGGACTGGCCTATGAAAATTCTATTGGTTACACTTACACCATGAACCCTATACTTCTGATCTTGCCCCTTCAGTCTTTCTGTTCCCCAAACAACATTTCAAAGAACATTTAAAAGGTACAAGGGACATAACTCTTGTTCCTTTTGGCCATTTTGCCATGGTGTGAACTGAAAGACAAAGAGTTAGAGTGATGGAAATACCACCTTCGATAGTGTATAGACCTAGATGAAGGTTATGTCCACAAACAATTATTTCACATTTTAATATTCTAATAAAGGTTTCTACAATTTTGCAGCAACATATTTTATGTACTTTTGTATATGTCAAAAATTTTAGCATCTTATATATGCTTAAGTACAGTCGAGTCAATTCCGACCCAGAGCAACCCTGTATAGGGCTTTCAAGGAGCAGCTGGTGAGCTTGAACCACACCTTGCAGTTCAAATGACTTTGTACTCTGACGCAATAGCCCACAGCACCACACCAGAAGCCGTACTAAATCAGTAAGAAAAAAAAAAATCAAGAGAAAAACTGAAAAATCCATTAAGTGAAAATCTGAAAAAATGTTTAACCCCACTAGTAAACCAAAAGGAAGATACTGTTGTTAAGTGCTGTGGAGTTGGTTCCAACTCATAGTGACCCTGTACAGGGCTACTGAGGCTTTAAATCTTTGAGGGAGCAGAAAGCTTCATCTTTTTCCCATGGAGTGTCTGGAGGGCTCAAACCATAGACTTTGTGATTCAAACTCGTGTTTATCGTATCGAGCCACCATGCTCCCAAAAAGGTAGATGTTGTTGTTGTTAATTGCTGTCAAGTTAGTTATGACCCTCAGTGACCCTGTATAGGGTTTCTGAGGAGCAGCTGGTTGGGCTGAACTTCCAAACTTACAGTTCGTAGTCCAGTGCTGATAGTACAGCACCACCAGGAGCGCAAAAGGTAGATAGAGTAGGACGCTAACCATTTTCACTATCAAAATCATTCAGATTAAAAAGAACAATAAAGCTGAATATCTTCCTGCATGCTGTTGTTGTTGAGTGCCGTTGAGTCAATTCTGACCATAGCAACCCTGTATAGGGCTTCCAAGGAGCAGCTGGTGAGCTTGAACCATTGACCTTGCAATTCAAACGGCTTTGCAGTCTGGCGCATTAGCCCACAGCACCACACCAGGACTCCCCATGTATTTTACTGAAAATAAAATTTTCAAATTCTACTCAACCAAAACCTCAGAAAAAGTGTACAGCTATTTATATATTATGCATTACATACCTGACAACATACTAAGAAAATGAAGAGGGTTATTGCAGTCCAAAGTACCTTCTCTCTAAACTGAATCTGTATAAACATAAAATAAAAAAAAAAAAAAAAATCAGTACCAATCAAAACTAAGAAACAGCAAATACAACCCAACAGTCATATTTAATCATAGCCAATATTCTCCTATCAGGTTTGTTGTTGTTAAATGCCATCCAATCAGTTCCGAATCATAGCAATCCTGCATAGAATTTTTCCAAAGTTTTAAATATTCACAAGAGCAGAAAGCGCCATCTTTCTCCTGCTTCACACTAGTTGTTCTTAAATGCTATCAAAGCGATTCCGACTCATAGCAACCCTATATAGGGTTTCCAAAGAGCAGCTGGTAGGTTTGAGCTACCTACGTTGTGTTTCGCAGTCCAATCCTTATCGTATAGTATCACACCAGAAGTATGTTCATACTAGTTTAGGAGGTAAAACAGAACTTCTCCAAAATAGTTTGAACTTTTGTAAAAGTAATCTGAATACAGACATCCTCAGTCATTACAGTAAGATGTTAACTGAAACTGAAGTGGATGGAAAGTCACATCCACCTCAAATCTGTTAAAACGCGAAGGTCGGTAAGACTGCCTGTAATACTCTTATATGGATATTTCATAGAACATGAAAAGCTCCCTTTTCATAGGATGACTTAAAAGTAACCAGAGCAACTATTCTTACAGTCTCAAAGCAGTAAGGAAGAAATATATAAGGAGGCTTCAAAAAGTTTATTAAAAAATGTAATGAAAAGATAATGGAGAAACAAGATGGCAAATCAGGTAGAAGTGCAGTGAGGAGCTCTGTCAGCAACAACACAGAATACCGGACCAAGCAGGCTCAGGGGATGGTGCCAGAACTCTGAACCACATATAAAGGAATACTTAGAAAGTTGGAAGGCTTACAGCTAGGGGAATTTGTAGCAGAAGCAAGAAATCCATTGCTTTCTAATTCAAGACACTCAGCTGCTCCCAGAGCCACCATCTTGGGCGAGACCAAGCGAGGGAAGGATCAGAGCAGCCATGGACACCTGACAGAACCACAGAGATAAAGGTGTGGACATTTTTTTTTTTTTTTTTTTGGTATCTGTTCATTGGTCTCTTGCTGTCAGTGCAGCTGCATTCTGGTGACTACAGGAGGTGCCTGAGTGAGTGGATATCCCACCCCCAACCCCGGAGGTCTCTATTACGCATACACACAGATCTCCCATATTTAAAGTGACACTTAAAACCAAACGGCAGTGCAAAACGGACACAGCCAGCCCTGAACTGTTTATCACTAGGAAATATGCTAAAAATTAAATCATGAGCTATGTCACAACAATCAACAGTGGCATCTTGAAATTTATAAGGAAGAAGAGTGAAAAGGGAAGCCCATATCCTGATCAAATCTACCTGGAGGCAATCAGAAAGCATAAAAAATACCAAAATACACACCCATCTATGTATTAAGGCCACAGATAACTCCTGAATATGCCAAAAATACAGAAGCAGATGACCATACCAGCACATGTCCAGAAACAAGATAAAGTGACTGAAGCAAATGAGCTGGAAGTAGACCTACACTCCATACTAGAAGATGGGCAGGCTTTAGAAATGCTGGAGAAGGAATTCAGAAAAATAATTATAAAATGTTTCAAAACACTATACAATGGAGTTGAGAAAAATAAGGAAGAAGTCAAGAAAGCACTACAGGAACAATCAAATAAGATAGATGCAGCATTGGAAACAATTCAAAACCTACCTAAAGAGGTCCAAATGATGAATGACAGAATATCAGAAATGGACAAATCACTGAAAGGGCAAAGGAGTAGAACTGAAGACATAGAAGCCAGAACTAGTGAGCTAGAAGATAAATCTCTCAACACTACTAAGACAGAAGAGCAAGCACAAAAAAGGATAAAAAAATCTGAAGAAGGCCTAAGAT